ACTCCAGGCTCCTGGGCTCGCCTCGCTGCCCCGTTGCCTCCTGCAAGTCACTGATCACCCCTGGGCTTTGGCTTCTGCACCGACACAAGGGAAGCAGAAGCTCAAAGCCCCAACCTCCTCCCCATGGCTGTGAGGATCTGATGGGACAGTGTCTACACGAGTGCCAGGTCAGCACCAGGCCTTGCAGGGGCTCACAGCTATGGGAGAGAATGCGCAGGTGCGCCCGGCTCCTCAGCTCACAAGCTCGGTGTGGCCTTAAACAAGCCATTCCCTGTTTCTGCCGGTATTAAGGTGACACTAATCCAGCCCTGCCTCCCTCAGAGGATTGCTGCGGGGATCCTATGGGACAACATTCAAACATGTTTTGGTCCTGTTCATTTAGGAATGTTCCTCACCGCCTTGAAGAAATCCAGTGGGAAAAATAGAGTTTTAGAGAATTTGTTGTTAAGAGTTTGTGATGTGAGGATGAAATGAGATACACATATATGACAGCCTTTGGGGGACTGGGACTGGCAGTGCTTAATCCATAGGAATAATAGTATCACTAATTAATACTAACAGTATTAGTACTAATTAGTATTCTTAGTGTTATTCTTAGTAGTATTCAACAAGTATTCAGTAGTAGTACTGAATAATTTCAATAAATATGAGCCATTATTGCTAATACTAGTAATAGCCATAATTACTGTTACTAATACTAATAATGGCGCATATTTATTGAACACTGTGTTAGGCAGAATAATGTCCTCCAGAGATGTCCACATGTGAACCCCCAGGACCTCTGAGTACGTGACCTTGCATGGCTCTATGCGTCTGCTAGGGCTGCCATAACAAAGTGCACAGACTGGGCGGTGTAAACAACAGAAATGTATTTCCTCACAGTTCTGGAGGCCAGAAGTTTAAGGCAAGGTATTGGTGAGGTGGTTTCCTCCAAGGCCTGTCTCCTTGCCTTGACGTGACCATCCTTTCCCTCTGTCTTCACATGGTCCCTCTTCAAATCTCTTCTTACAAGGATACTGGTCACATTGGATTAGGGCCCACCCTGAATGACCTCATTTAATTTAATTAGCTCTTTAAAGACCCTATCGCCATCTTCTGAGATATGGGGGGTTAGGACTTCAACATATGATTTGGGTGGCGGATGCTGAGTCTGAATGGCAAACAGACTCCACAGACACGATTAAATTAAGGATTCTGAGAAGGGGAGATGACCCTGGATTATCCAATCTGGCCCAAGGTAATCCTAAGGGTCCTCAGAAGAGGGAGATGAGAATCAGATAGAAGGGGAGATGCTCCACTGCTGGCTTTGAAGATGGAGGAAGGGACCACAAGCTGAGGAGTGCAGGCAGCCCTGAGAAGCTGGGAAAGGGAGGAAGCCATTCCCCTTGGGCCTCCAGGAGCAACACAGTCCTGCTGATGTTTCCATGTTAGGACCTCTGGCCTCCAGAACTATACGATAATAAAGCTGTGTTGTTTTAAGCCATTAAGTTTGTGGTATTTTGTTACAGCAGCAATAGGTAACTAATACCCATGCATATATGTATTATCTCATTTAATCCTCACAATAACCCTACAAGGGGGATATATATTATTATTATCCCTATTTTGCAGATGAGGAAACTGCAGCACAGAGAAGTTAATAACTATCCTCAGGCCATAAAGCTAGTATGTGAAATGACAGAAACAAGCTCTGAACCCCAAAAAGGCTGGCTCCAGAGGCCATACCCTGAACTCCCGTGTACTCTAAGGAATGAATAATGATGATGGAAAAGCCTCTCAAGTCACCCTGTCCCTTCCTCCAGCAGCCGTTCAAGGCTCCTCACAGTCCACATCTGTACACACGTCACAGAAGGAGGCCCCTACATTTGTATAGCATTTTACTCTCTGAAACAGGCATTTGCTGTTTACACAACACCAGGAAGGCTCCACTGCTAAAAGACACATCCCCTCCACCTGCAGGGTGATGTCTGGAATTTCACTCGTAGCTTGATCATTTCACGTTCTTATCCCTTTAATGACTCTCCCATCAAGCTTCAACACTTAGAACCGCGGAGGATTGGATCATGGACCCGTGGGGAGTGGTGGGACCGGAGAGGCTACCCCAAGTGTGTTCGCCCAGCAGCCAGATCCACACCTAGCATCAGTTCCTCCACTGTTCTCACGTGTCAAAAGCTACATGTTGGGAGAGGTTTCATCACCACAGACTTCCCGAAGCCAGCACGGTCTCCCTGCCAAGGCCGCCCTCTGCCTGCCCTCCATAAAACATCTGTTTTCTATTCTTTGTTGGGAACAACTTGTCCCTGAAGCCCTAGGCAGTTGAGGGGGGTCAGGGTGGCCTTTGCTGGGCTATGTTCTGTCTGTGTCCCAAACCAACTGTACTCATTAAGCCCACAGCTCTCTGCTCATGTTACTTTTAAAGAATAATAACTAGTGTGGCTTTTTGTATTTGCTCAGTCCGAAAGACCTCTGTCCTCCCTTGCTTTCAGCCAAATCCCCTTTCACGTGGTTCCATGAGATTATTCTCTCAAAAAAAAAAAATAATAACAGAGTGCTTATAGAATCAAGATATTATTTATATGCAATAAAACTCACTCATTTTTAGTATACAGTTTGATGAACGTAAATAATCACGTGACCGCGACTACAATCAAGTGGCAAACGTTTCTGCACAGGATAAAGCTGCTTTCTGTCCCTGCATGTCACTCCCCTCCCTGCCCACAGCTCCCGGCCACCACCGATCTACTTACGGTCACTGTAGTTTTGCCTTTTCTAGAAGCTTGTAAGAATGGAAATGTGTAATGTGTAGTCTTTGGTGCTGTCTTCTTTCACTTAGCATAATGTTTTTGAGGTTCATCCACGTTACTAGTATTTAATTCCATTTGGTTGTTCTGTAGCATATACAGACCAATTTGTTTATCCACTCACCAGTTGATGACACGTTTGGGTTGCTTTGAACAAAGACGCTACGAACACTCACATACACATCTGTGTGCAGACATTATGTTTTACTTTCTCGTAGGTAAGTTCCTAGGAGTGAAATGTGTGGATTGTATGATAACTTTATAAGTATGGTTTTTTTGTTTGTTTGAGACAGAGTCTCACTCTGTTGCCCAGGCTGGAGTAGAGAGACACGATCTCAGCTCACTGCAACCTCTGCTTCTCAGATTCAAGCAGTTCTCCTGCTTCAGCCTCCTTAGTAGCTGGAATTACAGGCACATGCCACCACACCCGGATAATTTTTTTGTATTTTTAGTAGAGACGGGGTTTCGCCAGGTTGGTCAGGCTGGTCTTGTGCTCCTTACCTCATGATCTGCCCACCTCGGCCTCCCAAAGTGCTGGGATTACAAGCCTGAGCCACCACACCCAGCCATAAGTATGGTTTATAAGTAAATTATTTTATAAGTATGGTTTAACTTTATAAGATACTTTCATAGATTGTATCTGTTATTTTCCTTTTTTTTTTTTTTTTTTTAAGAGAGACAGAGTCTTTCTCTGCTACCCAGGCTGGAGTACAGTGATGTGATCATAGCTCACTACAGCTTTGAACTCCTGGACCCAAGTGATCCTGCTACCTCAGCTTCCCAAGTAGCTGGGACTATAGGTACACACCACCAAGCCTGGCTAATTTTTAAATTTTTTAAAGTAGAGACGAGGTCTTACTATGTTGCCCAGGCTGGTCTTGAACTCCTGGCCTCAAGCACGATCCTCTTGCCTCAGCCTCCCAAAGGGTTAGGATTACAGGTGTTAAGCCACTGAGCCTGGCCTTGCCCATTTTTCATTGGGTCATTTGTCTTCTTATTAGACTGTAAGAGTTCTCTATATATTCTGGATACAAGCCGTTTTGAAGATGCAATCGTGTGCCACATAACATTTCAGTCAGCACCGGACTGCACGTACGATGGTCCCAGAAGAGTAAAGTACTGTATTCTTACTGTATTTTTTCTATGTTTAGATATTTTTAGTTACACACGGGATCATGTTACAATTGCCTACAGTATTCAGTATAGTCACATGCTGTACAGGTTTGTAGCCTAGGGCCAATAGGCTATCACAGAGTTTTGGTGTGTAGCAGGGTGTACCATCCAGGTTTGTGTAAATACATTCTATGATGATCACACAATAATGACACATTTATCAGAACGTATTCCTGTTGCATGACTGTATATGTTTTGGAAAAACTTTGCTCCCATCTCTCCTGGGCTGACTCCTGTTAAGAGGTAGTGATGTGCATGGGAGGGGCCCTGTGGCTGTGCTGCCTCCCAACTCTGCCTCCTTGGGCAAATCTCTTCCCTTCTGTGAGCCTCAGTTTTTTCATAAGTAAAATAGGAGTAAAAACCCACCCTCTCTTCCCCACCATGCTGTAAGGAGCCCTGCGAAGAATTACGACCATGAAAGCATTTGGTAAATGCTTCAGACCTAAATAGGCTAACAGTGGGGTCAAATTGCTATTATAATAGTACTGAAGACCCCTCTGTGTCCCTTCCCTCGGCTGGACGTTATCTGGAAGGGAAAGTTGTGCAGAGTGGACGCATCTCAGTCAAGGATAGACGACCAAGGAGGGATGCAGATGGGAATTGTGTGCACACCATTCCCCATAGGCTTCAGGAGGAGGGAGCAGCCAGTGTGTTCCGAGTGCCTCCGCTGTGCCGGGCACTGCCCTCAGCACTGGGAATGTGCCATGACCCTCACAGAGCCCCTCCGACCAGTCAGGGCAACCAGAGAGTGAGTGATGGTTACAGAGCTGTACGGACTCTGCGCTGACAGGAGAAATAGCAGTACCACCCAGGATCACAGTCGGGGCCCAGGTCCTGATTTGAAGGAAAGTCGTGGAAGGGTGGAAGCTTGAAGAGTGGAAAGGAGGTAGCCGGAGGGAACAGCATCTGCAAAGCTGTGTGGCCCAACTCATCTCCTGCCTTGGTGGATCCTGGTATATTGCAGAGAGGCCCCAGGGTAGCCACAGGGATCGCTATAACATTCAGCAACGTGATTATTATTTCCAGGCTCACCCAGAGGTGGCTGAGGTTGGAGTTGGGTGCCCCTTTGCAGGTGTCGGCTGCTCCTTCAAGGTAAGAACCTGAGTGTGAGAAAGGAGATCTGTCCACTATGGTTCTGGACCTCTGGGTCTCCCCACTGCAGCCCCTCTAAGATTTTCCCATAACATCAGCCCACTTATCTGGATGTCCCTTGTACTAATGACTTTCCCAAGCATTAGATCCTACTATTAAGTCATGATAGTACTTAGGGAAGTTCTTCTTAATGTCTCACCTAGGCATTGGCAGAACATCACTAAAATGACCCCCACCCGACCCCTGCCGCTTCTCTCCATGGTCCTGAATCACCCTTGCACTCCAGGGCAGGGCAGAATTAGAGGCTGCGATGTATACGGCTCATCGTGGGCATATCTGATGCCAGGATCTTCCTCCTCAATCCCTCCCACTGTACAGAAACCCACTCTTCTTTGCTGGGTGAATGGATCTGACTTTCCTTGGGGACTTTTGATAGCAGGGCTCTCCACTGCTCTCCGCTGTTCCCCTGTCCTCCCTCCACTGTTTACACTGATCAGCCCCACTCTCTTGGCAGGGGAGCCCACAGTCCATGCAAGAGCATGAGGTCACCTACCAGACCTCCCACCTAAACCTGCTGTTGGGGTTCATGAAACAGTGGAAGGCCCGGCTGAGCTCTGGCCTGGAGTCTGGGCCCATGGCCCTGGAGCAGAACCTGTCAGACCTGCAGCTGCAGGCGGCTGTGGAAGTGGCGGGGGACCTGGAGGTAGACTGCTACCGGGCACCCTGCTCCGAGAGCCAGGAGGAGCTGGCCCTGCAGCACTTCATGAAGGAGAAGCTTCTGGCTGAGCTGGAGGGGAAGCTGCGTGTGTTTGAGAACATTGTTGCTGTCCTCAACAAGGAGGTGGAGGCTTCCCACCTGGCCCTGGCCACCTCCATCCACCAGAGCCAGCTGGACCGCGAGCGCATTGTGAACTTGGAGCAGAGGGTGAGTGTAGGAGGCAAGTTTGCTTTCAAGCCTGGCTGAGCCCCATCCTGACTCCAGAGCAGCAGACAGGCTTCTTCCTAATCATTCATCCTGCTTAGAGCAGTCACTCCATCAAAACATATCTCCCCTTTCCCCCACACCCTTCCAGGAAGAGCACTGAGTTAGAAGCTGTAGTCAAGGTCACGGCTCCCCATCCAGTGCTTCAGTTCCTTTGCTTGAACTTTTGTGATAAGACACCACCTCCTTGAGCAGCTCATTCCATTGCAGGACATATTCCACTATTAGCAAGTAGTTCCTTACACTAAGCTAAAATAGGCCACTCTGTCTCTTCCCTGCATTGTGCCTGAACCTGCCCCTCAGAGCCCACAAGACAACTCCACCTTCTAGTCCCCACAACTTCAGGGACAGAGAGTTGGATTCTGTCCTATCTGAGTGCTTCCCTTTTCAGACTAAAAGCCCCGGTGCCTTCACCTCTTCTCAGAGCATGCTGCTTCACATTGCCCTCCTATGCTCTGGCTCCGCCTCTAAAGAATTATGTATGCTTGGAGTGTGGTCCCAGGCTGACCAGATAATCCACTATCGACAGTTCTTGCTCCAGCAGGGCTGTCTCCTCCTTTATTCTAGAGCGTATACTTTCCTTAATGTAGCCAATCACCATTCTAATGTTGCTTCTTTTGGAGTAACATTAACATTACATCATTGTCTCATATTGAGTTGGGCCTGGATTTTAGTTTCTGCTTCACCATTACCATTATCTGCCTCACCATTCGCGGTTACCATTACAGCAGGTGCTCAGAGCCACCTGCCATGCGGGTCTGAGCAAGTCACTTTCCCTCTGGGACCTCAGCTTCCCCATCAGTAAAATTAAGGATTAAATTTTCTTTAAGGACGCTCATTTCCATTCATGGCTTCCCTACCTGAACACACTCAAGAATAAATTTGTATTCTTTCCATTTTATTGGGGAAATCTATTAGAAGAGCCAGGCACTGAGTTGGAGTGGCTGAGACTTTATTTATGTAACTCTTGCCCCAGTTAAAAAGTGGGCTACCTGAAAGCCACAATTGTGTCATCATTTCACCCACAGACTTCCTGGCTCTACTTTTACATGCCAGGCACTACGCAGGGTGTGGACAGCAAGAAAAAATGAGCCCCCAGTGGAGGAGACCATCTGGTAGAGAAGGCAGAAAAATATGTCTCATAAAATCATTGTAAGGGCCCTGTAAGAGCATGTTGAGAGAGAGCAGCTGAACTAGGACAGTGGTTGAAGGCTCCCAGATGAGGGGCCTGGATTCCTGGTGGATAAAGAAAAGGAAGGCCAGGCAGAGGGCAGCACATTCAAACACAGACGCATGTGCCTGAGTGAGGCGTGGTCGGGAAAGCATATTTGGGGCTGATCAGTCTCCACATCCTGCCGTCCCCATCCCATCCCCAAGCCGGGTTCTGGTGCTCCTAGCTGAACAGCCTTCCCTACAGGTGGTGGAGCTGCAGCGGACCCTGGCCCAGAAAGACCAGGCCCTGGGCAAGCTGGAGCAGAGCTTGCGCCTCATGGAGGAAGCCTCCTTTGATGGCACCTTCCTGTGGAAGATCACCAACGTCACCAGGCGGTGCCAAGAGTCAGCCTGTGGCAAGACTGTCAGCCTTTTCTCCCCAGGTAACACCTCCCAGGGGCACAGAGGACCCAGGAAGCAAGCCGTGAAAACAGCCAGCTCTGTGACAGCCGTGCTGTGTCCAGTTTAGGCTGGTGCCCATTCAGGCCACTCGCCATGGCTGGGAACCATGCAGGGACCTTGGGGTTTGTGGGGGAACCGTGCTGTGCCCTGTGGCTCTCAGCCACACACAGCAGTGGCCCAAGCTGACTGACATTCAGGCCCCTCTCTTCCCTGGATGTCAGTCATGTTCTGCAAATAGGAAGCAAAATTGTTACCCACTTCATGGATTTGGGATGTGATGGTAAGTGTGCTGTGGGTGGATGAGATGGATGTGGATGATGATTTTCACAAGTGAACACCATAGGGCCCCTGGCCTCAGAGAGCTGACAGTCTGAAATAAGATTAGAGAGCTGAGTAAGACACGTGGATTTGTATACAATTGCAGTTAGCAAGTGAATCAGTGTCTTACTCATTTCTTACTCATTTCTGGGGACCCTGGGCTTGGCACAATGTCTTGCATAATTACTTGGTAAGTGTTCCTCTTAATTAAATGATATCTGTTAATATAACAATGCATATATTTGTGCAGAAAATGAGGCAGTGACCTGGGTGCAGTGGCTCATGTTTGTAATCCTCACGTTTTGAGAGGCTAAGGCAGGAGGATCATTTGAGGCCAGGAGTTCAAGACCAGCCTGGGCAACATAACAAGACCCCATTTCTACAAGAAAAAAAAAAATTTAATTAGCCAGGCATGGTGGCCTGCACCTGTGGTTCTTGCTACTTAGAGGCTGAGGTGGGAGGATCACTTAAGGAGTTCGAGGCTGCAGTGAGCTATGATGGTGTCACTGCACTCCAGTCTGGGCAACAAAGCAAGACCCTGTCTCAAAAAAATTTTTTTAACCGAGTCAGGAGCGTTTGTCACACTCCCAGAGCAGGGCTGGGACCCCTTTCCTGCAGGAGCAGTGCTCATCCTGCTCTGTGAGGACAGCCTCTTCATGGGGTGGCCTCGAGCCCTGCTTGTAGACTTTTTCCCTCAATTCTTTTCAAAGAAGGAAAAAGCAAGCAGTGCCTTGGGCTTCCTGTTCTACCAAAACGTAATAGGCATCAGACCCTCCTCTACCCCCCTTCCTGCCCACCCCCATCCACATCCCAGTCAGCCCTCCCAGAAGGACCCTCTGCCAGAGGACATGCTTTCGTGAGATGGCCCCTTCAGCTGCCCAGGGACTTTCTGTGCATCATCACCAGGGATGATTCATCCCTCAAAGGTTTTTGCCACCTGAGGATGGCTGGCAGAACTGTGAGTCACCCCATGTACCCCCAGCCTGCAGGGGACCCCAACCAGTTGGCATAGGGCAGCAGAAAGAATCCGGTGCTGGGAGGCAGGAAGCCTGCCCCCTCATTCTTGCTGGGCCCCCAACACACTGTGAGATGGTGACCAGCCACTTTCTTTCACCCAGCTTGGTTTCCAGACTAAAATGTAGGTTGGTTAGATCAGTGGTTCTCAGAGTGTGGCCCTAGGGCCAGCAGTATTGGCAACCCCTGCAAACTTGCTGGAAATGCCAACTCTCAGTTCTCACCCCAGGGTTATTGAGTGAGAAACTCTGAGGGTGGGGCCTGGCAGTATAGGACTTGGATGGCCAGGGGACAAACCCTGAGCTAGATGATCCCCAAGAGCCCATTCCTCTCTGACACCCTAGTCGAGAAGAATGTTGGGCTCTAACCCCATCTTTCATGGTTGTGAGCCACTGACCTTGGGCATGCCTAACCGCTGGGTCCCCGTCCTGCATCTGCAAAGTCCAGCACTTCCCAGCTGCCTCAGGCTTCTGCATTTCAGCATTCTACACTGCCAAGTATGGCTACAAGCTGTGCCTACGGCTATACCTGAATGGAGATGGCACTGGAAAGAGGACCCACCTGTCACTCTTCATTGTGATCATGAGAGGGGAGTATGATGCGCTGCTGCCGTGGCCTTTCCGGAACAAGGTACGAGTGTGGAGACGCAGGGGTAAGGTGGGGAGCATGGGAACCTGAGTCCTAGGCCTGGTTTGGCAATGAGTTGACCATGTGACATGGAAAGTCCCCCCCACCATGCCCCTGCTCTGTGTTATCAGTCTCCTTTTTTATAAAACAATCAGATCTGGTAACTAGGGCTCCCTCCAGCTCCATGAGTCCAGAAGCTAAAATGTCCGGAATCTTCCTGAAGTTTATATAGAAATAAAATTCATAACCAGGTGCAATGCCCCACATCTGCAATCCCAGCACTTTGGGAGACTGAGGCGGGAGGATTGGTTGAGCTCAGGAGCTTGAGACAGGCTGGGCAACATGGCGAGACTTCATCTCTGCTAAAAATAAAAACCATTAGCTGGGCGTGGTGGCACGTGCCTGTAGTCCCAGCTACCTGGGAGGCTGAGGCAGGAGGATTGCTTGAGCCTCCACTAAAAATACAAAAAAATTATCAAGACCATCCTGGCTAACACAGTTGTCCAAGAGTAGGGGCAGGGAGAGATGAACAGAAAGAGCACAGAGGAGTTTGGGAGCAGCAAAACTATTCTGTTTGATACTGTTATGGTGGATGCATGTCCTTATGCAGTTGTCAAAACCCATAGAAGTTGAAATACCAAGAGTAAATGCCAATGTAAACTGTGGACTTTGGATGATAATGATGTGTCAATACAGGTTCATCAATTGTTACAAAAGTACCACTTTGGAGGGGATGCTGATAGTGGGAGAGGTTGTGCATTGGGTGGGGGCAGGAGGTATATGGGAACTCTGTATTTTCTGCTGAATTTTGCTTTGAACCTAAAACTGCTTTAAAATATAAAGTCTATTAGGCCTGGCATGGTGGCTCATGCCTGTAATCCCAGCACTTTGGGAGGCTGAGGCGGGTGGATCACAAGGTCAAGAGATCGAGACCATCCTGGCTAACATGGTGAAACTCTGTCTCTACTGAAAATACAAAAAAATTAGCCAGATGTGGTGGCATGCACCTGTATTCCTAGCTACTCAGGAGACTGAGGCAGGAGAATCTCTTGAACCCAGGAGGTGGAGGTTGCAGTGAGCCGAGATCACGCTACTGCACTCCAGCCTAGGCAACAGAGAGACTCCGTCTTGTAAAAGAAAACATAAACAAAATAAAGTCTATTAAAAATTATTGACCAGGTGCAGTGGCACACACCTGTAATCCCAGCACTTTGGGAGGCTAAGGTGGGTGGATCACCTGAGGTTAGGAGTTTAAGACCAGCCTGATCAACATGGTGAAACCCCGTCTGTAGTAAATACAAAAAGTTACCCAGGTGAGGTGGTGCATCCCAGCTACTTGGGAGGCTGAGGCAGGAGAATTGCTTGAACCCAGAAGGCAGAGGTTGCAGTAAGCCAAGATTACACCGTTGCACTCCAGCCTGGGCAACAAGAGCAAAACTCTGTCTCAAAAAAAAAAAAAAATTCTTATAGAGGGGTTTGGGGGATAGACGTTCCCTGTGGGTGAACAGCAGCATTGCGTGAGTACAGAGTGTCAAGAATAGAGACCTCAGGTCCTGGGAAACAGGTGGGGCAGGGCGGGTATGCCGTGAGAATCAGTGGGTCCTCCCACCCCCAGCAGTTCCCAAAGGCACTGGGGAGATTTTTAAAACACCAACGACAGAATCTTACCCCGTAAGTGATAAGGCCTGAGCATCAGGATTAAGTCTCCCCAGGGGCTTCTAATGTGCAGGATTGAGGACTGCTTCAGTTGGCAACGGGAAGCCATTCAGGGTCCTGATGGGCATTTCAGAGACAGGTGCCAGGGAAGAGGGTTTGTGTCACTTTTAGACAGTCAGCTTCTCAGGGGAACCTCTATCTGTGCTGTGTATACCAAAGGCTCCACAAATGTCTCAGGACATGGATGACAGCCCCTCATTAGAAGACCTGCGTGTTCTGACCCTTCTGCCTTGCCCCAGCAGGTTCCAGCTGTAGCTGATGAAGCAAAACTGTCCACGCCAGAGGGGGTGTTATAGGTTATTGCATCCGCCCACCTTGTCAGTGCTTCAGTCACACCTTTTGCCCCAACAGCCAATCAGACTTGACTGGGGCATCAGAACCTTCCCGCTTTCTGCTGGGTGGAAGGAACATCTGATCCCCATCATAGAACAGCCCCTGAAGTGCACTCAGAATATCAGGTGATGTGGGCTCCCTGAGCCTGGCCATACACCAGCTGTGCTCCTTACCTGGCTTCTCTGACTCCGAATCCATCTGAGCCAAGGGTCCGAGGGGCTGCATAGGCGGTAGGCATGGAGCACAGCTCTGAGCCCAAGCCTGGGCCTCCAAGCTGCTCTGCTATTGGGTCTGATCTCCCACCTGCCCTTCCCTTCAGGTGACCTTCATGCTGCTGGACCAGAACAATCGTGAGCACGCCATCGATGCCTTCCGGCCTGACCTGAGCTCAGCGTCCTTCCAGAGGCCCCAGAGTGAAACCAACGTGGCCAGTGGCTGTCCACTCTTCTTCCCCCTCAGCAAGCTGCAGTCACCCAAGCACGCCTACGTGAGGGACGACACCATGTTCCTCAAGTGCATTGTGGAGACCAGCACTTAGGGTGGGCGGGGCTCCTGAGGGAGCTCCAACTCAGATGGGAGCTAGTGAGAGGACTGTGATGCCCTGCCCTTGGCGCCCAAGACCCCAGAGCACCAGGATGGGCGAAGACTGGCACTATCCGAGCAAGACTGAGGGGTCGACTATTGGCTGGCTATCTGGTTAGGATGGCAGGATGTAGGCTGGTCCCACAAAGGCAAAGGGTCAGAAGGAGACAGGCAGAGCTGCTCCCCGCTCTGCACTGACCCTGTAACACCAGGAGGCCAGGGGGCCACTCCAGCCCCAAATGTCAAGGTGGACTATCACCAAGATGGGAAGAAAATGGAACCAGGCCTGGAACTGTGGGACCTAAGCAGAGAAGCTCTCAGGCTAGGAAGATCTCTGCAGAGCCACCAGGGAGACCTGGACACAGGCCTGCCCTCCTCCTGTCCAGGATCAGAAACAGGACTGGGTGAAAGGGATGGGAGGGCCATGTGAATGCAGTCTGTCTAGGCCTGAACTGAGTTCCCTGTCACTGGAAGTGAACAAGCAAATCCAGAGGGCTCCAGTGGGACTTCAAATTGAGGGTTGGAATTGAAGACTTTTAAAGTTCCTTCCAGCCCAGAAAGCCTCTAATTCTAGGCCTCCTGGCTCAGGTGAGTCCTAGAGTTACAGGGGGTTCTGGAAACATTCAGGAGCTTTCTGCCCTCCCAGCTCCTCACTCATCTTCAATAACCCCTGCTGGACTGGCCTGGCCTGCAGGGCACCTGCCACCCTGGGCCTGGCAGCTCAGCTTCCCCAACACGCAGGAGCACACACAGCCCCCTCGTCCTGTGCCTCCACCAGCCAAACACCACTTCACTTCCTGCAGGTGAAACCCGGTCACTGTGAGCTCCCAGGTGCCTTGAGAAGGAGAGGGGCGTAAACCTTGCTCTTCCTGCCTGGAGGCCTCACCTCTGGTGCTTTCCAGAGTCCCACATCACTTGATTAACTGAGGCAGCCACTTCTCTCAGCAGACTGATCAGGACCTCCAAGCCACTGAGCAACGTATAACACCAAAAACAATTTTTGGAATCTCTTTTGAAGTTTTCCTAAAGTGTATGGTTTGGGAGTTGTTTGTACTGAGCCAAGTTTGAAAAGGCCATTGCTGAGTTTGAGGTGGTGCCACCAATTTTGCAGGTGGCATCAGAAGCTGGCATCCTGGCAGGAACATACCCTCTTGACCCCAGTCTTCTCTTTTCTATGATGAGACCCACCCCGGCTTGCCTCCCTCCCTGGGTTCTCTGACCCTCAAAGGAGATGCCACACAGGAGAGACTGGAGAGAGAGAAGCCTGGGTAATGCTGCCTGCCTGTCATGGCCTGCTGGTGGCCCACAACTATCTTCTCACCTCAGAGGCCACACCCAGCTTTCCAGAGATGCCGAGACAGGTCAGGACCCTACCACTCGCCCACCACCCTCCCGACAGCTTACTCTTCCTCCACTGCTGAGCCTCCACTAGACTTCAGTCCTTAAAATGCTAGGGTTCCTTCTGTAAAATGGGTCAGTAGCCCTTCCTTTTCTCTCCAGCCCAGCATGCAGGAGGATCAAAGGAGGTGAGGGAGCACTGTGGCACAGCAGGCTCCATGGGTTAGAAGACCCGGGCCCAACTGGGCTCTAAACCTGGCATCCTGTCATGCCTCAGCCCTCCAGCTGAAGACCAGGGGAGGTCCCTCCCTTGCCCTGCCCAGCTCTAGGAGTTTTTAGGAGGCCCAACTGCAATAATGGAGCACTAGTGATTTTATGTGCAATGGTGTCATCCATACAGACAGCAGCAAACATGCTGGGGCTGCTTGTTCTTGTTCCCACCGCTGGCAGTGTGGCAGCGGAGACTGTGGAGTCAGTGGAGACTGACTGCCTCCCGCTGACAGCTGATGTCACACATGAAGGTCTGGCCTAGCAAGTGATGGAGTGAGGCCCCGAAACTGATGTCCTAGCAATGACCTTTTGGTCCCTACTCACCAGTGCTGAGCTCAAGGGGGATTTGTAGGACAAGCCACCATGAGGGACAGCTGTTACTCTACACTTTTGATTGCCTATTTCTGATGGGAAGGGATATATACTCTCTTCAAAGAGTGTGAGATGCAACCATTCTTTCAGCAAAGCTTCACTGACACCTGCATGTGTTATCCACTGTGTTCGAACATTGGGGGGAGAAAGCAAGATGTGCACCCTGACCTCAAGAAACTCTTAATTCAGTGGAGGAAATGAGCACATAAGCAGCTCATTATGACTGAGAGTAAGAGAAGCTTAGAGAAAGCACAGAATCCCAGATCCACTGGGTGAAGGAGGGAAGGCTTCATGGAAGAAGTGGCATTTAAACTCAGCCTGAGAGTATTTCGAAATGCAGAGGATGGGGAAAAGGGAAGAGTCCCGACTTGGAGATGGGAAGTAGCCTTGGCTGAGGGCAGGGTCTGTGTGGCAGGACGGGGGAGGGAGGCAGCAGGGTTGGAGGAACTGGAATGTCGACAGCATCAGATGTGGCGGTGCCCTCCCCAGAGCACCTGCTGGTAACCCCTGGGCCTGTTGAAAGCAGGATGAGATGATGATTTAAAACACTGAATGGGCCGGGTGCGGTGGCTCACGCCTGTAATCCCAGCACCTCGGGAGGCCAAGGCGGGTGGATCACTAAGTCAGGAGTTAAAGACCAGCCTGTCCAAGATGTTGAAACCCCATCTCTACTAAAACTACAAAAATTAACTGGGCACGGTGGCAGGCACCTGTAATCCCAACTACGCGGGAGGCTGAGGCAGGAGAATCGCTGGAACCCAGGTGGTAGAGGTTGCAGTGAGCCAAGATCGCACCACTGCACTCCAGCTTGGGTGACACAGAAAAACAAAACAAAACAAAACCAAACCACTGATTTCTTTTCCAACAAAGCTCTATGTTAAGTGCACCAAAGATGTGACATCATATCTTTTACAGGTGATTCAAGGGTGGGGGAGGCAAGATGAAGGCAAAGCCATTGTTTCATTGGGTGGGGTCAGTAGGTCCTCCCCGCCAGCATTTCCCATAGATGCTGGGGAGATTTTTAAAACACTAACGACAAAAGCTCACCCCCGTAAGTGGTAAGTCCTGAGCATCAGGATTAAGTCTCCCCAGGGGCTTCTAATGTGCAGGATTGAGGACTGCTTCAGTTGGCAACGGGAAGCCATTCAGGGTCCTGATGGGCATTTCAGAGACAGGTGCCAGGGAAGAGGGTTTGTGTCACTTTTAGACAGTCAGCTTCTCAGGGGAACCTCTATCTGTGCTGTGTATACCAAAGGCTCCACAAATGTCTCAGGACATGGATGACAGCCCCTCGTCCTGTTCTGACCCTTCTGCCTTGCCCCAGGAGGCTCCAGCTGTAGCTGATGAAGCAAAACTGTGTCAGTGCTTCAGTCACACCTTCCACTTCCAACAGCCAATCAGACTTCACTGGGGCGTCAGAGCAGTTCCCTGCTTCCTGCTGGATGGAAGGAACATCTGATCCTCATCATAGAACAGCCCCTGCATTGCACTCAGAATACAGGTGTTACGGGCTCCCTGGGTCTGGCCATATGCCAGGTGCACTCCTTACTTGGTTTCTCTGACTCCTAACCCAAATAAGCTAAGTGTCAGAGGGTCTGCATGCAACCTGCTCCCCAACAGTGTGGGAAGCCCACTTTAATCCTCTTTTACAGATTAGGAAACTAAGACCAGAAAAGCCAAGTGCTTGGCCCAAGGAGGCAGGGATGGGACTGACGTTGGAAATCAGTTATTTGCTTCTAGTTTCTTTCCTTCCTCTCCCTTTTGGGTGAAATCTTCAGCCTTGATGAGATCATATCTTCATGGAGGCAGTAGGTCCTTCTGCCCCCAGCCAGAGGGCCAGCCCTGTGGGACCTACGGATGCCAGCCTGGCTGCATCCCAGGAGGGCAGAGCAAGCACAATCAGTACCACACAAGCTTGCTCACAGAGGACACCTCATGGGTATCCACAGCCAATCCCCAGTCAACCCTGGGCAGTAAAGGCAACTATCATTTAGGACTTCAATTGCTAAGTTCTGATTGTAAGAGACACATACTCATTATAGAAAAGCTGGGCCAAGCACACTGGCTTATGCTTCTAATCCCAGCACTTGGGAGACCGAGGCAGGGGAATTGCTTGAGGCCAGGAATTAAGACCAGCCTGGGCAACATAGCAAGATCCCCTCTCTACAAAAAAAAATTAAAATTAGCTGGGCACGGTGGCATGTTCCTGTACTCCCAGCTACTCCAGAGGCTGAGATAGGAGGATCCCTTGAGCCCAGGAGTTGGAGGCTGCAGTGACCTGTGCATCATTGCATTTCAGCCTGGGTGACAAAGACCCTGTCAAAAAAAAGGAAAATCAAAGAAAAACTGGGAAGTACAAAAGTCATAGAAAGAAGAAAGCAAAAATCACCCATGAGCCCAGTGTCCGGAAAGTACTCCTGGGAATGTTTTGGTTGATTTTCTTTGTATATTTGAGAAAGTAGATACAAGCACATACACATAGACTGATTTTAAAAATGTAATTAGAAGCATATTGATTGCTATTTGGTGCTCTCTCTCTTCACTTACCATCCTATTATCACATTCTACTACTAGCCCCTTCTTGCAGGCAAAGCCACAGAAACTAAGAAAATGAAGTCAAGGCCAGGCGCAGTGGCTCATGCTTGTAATCCTAGCACTTGGGAGGCTGAGGCAGGCAGATCACCGGAGGTCAGCTGTTTAAGACCAGCCTGGCCAACGTGGTGAAACTTCGTCTTTACTAAAAATACAAAAATTAGCCGGGCATGGTGACACATGCCTGTAATTCCAGCTACTTAGGAGGCTGAGTCCAGAGAATCGTTTGAACCCGGGAGGCAGAGGTTGCAGAGAGCCAAGTTTATACCACTGCACTTCAGCCTGGGTGACAGAGTGAGACTCTGTCTCAAAGAAAAAGAAAATTAATTCAATTGCTCAAGGCCACTCCAAATCAGTGTTCACACTCAGGTCTTTTGATACCAATGCCAGGGCTGAAATTATCACAACTGTTTTTAATGGAGAAACTGAGGCACAGAAGGGCAGTGTCCTGCACCAGTGTCAGGCTGGGGCTCACCCTGGCAGAAGTGAGGAGGGGATTTGCCTTTTTGACTGGAGGAGCCAATGGATTTAGAAGCTGGTGGGCAGGACACCATGCTCACAGCCGGGGCCAGGGAGGGTGACACAGCCTCTGCTTTCAAAGCAGCTTAGCCCGGGAGAGACAAACAGGACCCACTTTCCTCTATTGAGCTTGGGAGCAGAGGCTCGCTAAGCCTCAGCTTCTACTTCTGCCATGAGAGTGAAAATTCTAACCTCACAGTGTTGTCGTGAGGATGCCAATTGCAGAAGCTGCTTGCTTTGTCCACTGTGGGAGTGCCAGTCTAAGAATAACATAATCTTTTTTTTCTTTTTTTTTTTTTGAGATTGAGTCACCCAGGCTGCAGTGCAGTGGCGAAATCTCAGCTCACTGCAACCTCTGCCCTCTGGGTTCAAGCAATTCTCCTGCCTCAGACTCCTCAGTAGCTGGGATTACAGGCGCCCGCCACCACGCCCGGCTAATTTTTTGTATTTTCAGTAGAGACAGGGTTTCACCATGTTGGCCAGGCTGGTCTCAAACTCCCAACCTCAGGTAATCCACCTCACTCAGCCTCCCAAAGTGCTGGGATTACAGGCGTGAGCCACCACACCCAGCCAGAATAACAGAATCTTAAACAATCATGGAGTGCTTAGTTAGAGCCAGATACAGCACTGCAGGCTCTACCTGCATTGCTCCATGAAACTTTCATTTAAAAATCCATCAGGAAGGTATGTTTAGTATCATCTCTGTTTTATAGCAGAGAACACCCAGGCTTCAAGGGGTTCAAGGTCACACAAGCACCAGGAGCCAGGACTTGAACCAAGATGGGTCTATGGCAGGTTCAAACCCTTCAGTCCAGCAATTTGATTGATGACTAGAAGCAGCATAATGCTGTCGGAAAAGTACAAAAGCAGCTATGAGCTGTGACATCCAGTTTGAGTTCTGCACAGACTGTATGTTAATTTGTTTAAATAGCCATGATAAAATGATGACAGCTCTCATTTGCTGAGCACGTGCTTTTCTTGCAAGTATCACACTTAAT